TTTCTATTGTTTTCTGTTAACCAATTCCAAATAGTCACTATTCTCCAATTAAAATTGGCTGTGCAGAAAGGAAGTGCAGAATCCTGAATTCCAAATTTGTGATTTTAAGGATACTAATATTGCTTTGCACTTTTTTTGTATGGAATTTCTTAGCCAGTTGCCTATACTTATTCACACCCTTCATTAACTAGTTCACATGTGAAAGACATAAAAGATGCACAGAAACAATGTTTTGCGTATGATTAGCATTTTTCTCAAAACATCTGGACTCTTTTCCTATGGTTACTTAGGTAATTTCTAAACCAAATATATAATTTCTGCAAAGCTACACATTGTATAGCATTTTAAATGATATGCTTAACTTCGTCTTCTTGCATTATGCTGTTGTCCCACAGCACTTGATTGCAGCTTTGCAGAGTCATTTACATGAAGATTTATAGCATGACAAAGTGTTGTCCATGTTCCAAGGGAAAATCTTCATTCATGCATGTTCTTAATCATCTCTTAACTATTTTGAAAAAGGCAGTTTTTACTCGTGGAAATATAAATCCTTATTTATGATCCTGTTTGTTACATGATTAATAAATAAATAAAACAGCCAAGACTTCCTGCCAAGTCACTGACAGCCTGCAACTTGTCATTATGGTTCATTGTAACCCCCCCCACACACATTTATACATTGCTTGATTGTGATAAAACCTCAGTATACAAAAAGAATAGAGCAATAAAATTATCAGTGAAGAACAGTTAAAACTTAGTATTTAAAATCTTCAAAAATATTTAAAAGCAACAATAAGCTAGAACCAGATTAAAACATATGACAGCCTCTGCTTGTCAGGATAGGCTTGCCTGAGCAATAATGGTTTTAGCAGGCTATTCCCATTATAGTTCACTCCATTGCGGCTGAAGTGCATTCATGGGAAAGCTGTTCCCATCCTACCTGCTTTCTGCGTAGTATAATAGCTTCAAGTAAGGCCCTGCTTCAGATCTAAAGTGGTGGTGGGGAGATGGTTGGCCTAGTATGTTTAATCTACACCAGGCATGGCCAAATTTGGCCCTCCAGCTGCTTTGGGACTACAACTCCCATCATCCCTAGCTAACAGGGCCAGTGGTCAGGGATGATGGGAATTGTAGTCCCAAAACAGCTGGAGGGCCAAGTTTGGCCATGCCTGATCTACCCTGTCCTCCTTATTGGCTAGCTTATGACATCACCAAAATGCTACATCGTGATGGTGAAGCAATTGTGAGGCACTAATGTCACATCCACCCCATCCATTTAAAGCACATAGCTTCCCCCAAAGAATTCTGGAAACTGTAGCTTATCTCTCACAGGGCTACAATACCCAGCACCCTCAACAAACTACAGTTCCCAGGATTCTTTGGGGGAAGCCATGTGTTTTAAATGTATGGTTGGATTTGACCTAAGGCTACTGGGATTCAGTGTGATCCTAAAACAGATGGGAAAATGCTGGCTGTGGATCTTGACTAGGATGAATGAACACTTTCTCCATCTTCAGGAAGCCTCCTTAGGCCAATGACTGAGAGTTCAGATGCCCATATTTTAAGAGTTCTGCTTTTCCTTTTCTCAGTTTGCTACCCTTGGGGTCTTTCTTCCTGAATCCATGCAGTATTTGAGGCTAGTGCACATCCAGTTTCAAATCCAGATGTTGTCCAAGAAGAAATGGACGTGGAAAGTTATTGAAAGGGAACAGAGGGAGGCTTCGTGTTCTGTCATATAGTCCATTAATGTAGCCCTCTTGATGTTAGAGAAGTAAACCAGGGTCTTGACTTTGGTTTCTTAGTAATTCTAATGTAGTAAAATCATCATGTTATCAAAAAGATGCTGCGTATGGTTCTGTCTTTATTAGGTGGTGCCCATGAAGGACTTCAGCACCTTGGTCCTTATGGAAATATACCAAATATTGTAGCTGAGTTGACAGGTGACAACATACCTAAAGATTTCAGTGAAGATCAGGGATACCCAGATCCTCCAAATCCTTGCCCAATTGGAAAGACAGGTAAGTTGCATGGACTTACTACAGAGTTTTGTGCTAAATTCTGCAAGAGAAGTGAGAGGCATTGCAGCCAGCAAAAAGACTCAAAGGAGGATGTGAAGCATGGCCACTAGGAGTGTGACTTGGGGAGAATCCTAAGGGTTAGACAGAGAGATGTGGGGGGCCGCATTCAGCCCCTGAGCTGACATTCCCCATCCCTGTTTTACATTAATCCACATTTTTCTACTAAGAGTGAATTATGAACATAATTGTGGGATTTAGATTCTATTTAATTTACACGACTGGTTCTGCTTCCAAGGTGCAGATTTAGAAAATATTGGCCATTTTTGCCAATGGAGGCAACAGGTAGGATGAACAACTGGCGACTAATTAGTAATGGAAACAGGAATGGGGGAAGTGAAAAGGAATGATGCAGGTGATTGACGCCTTGACCATGGTCTGCTTTTGCATAACTGGCCAGTGTTTTCTTCAGATACTGATGACGGTGTTCGCCACACAGAAAGGTGGAAAGTCCATGAGATTATATATTCCATTGTAGCAACCCCATAATGTAAATATGTAATACAGGATTTTGGGTTATTCACGTAATCATTTTCCAGGATGCTTTAAAAAATCCTAAGCACACTTACCATAAAGGTGCCTAAAGTAAGGAATGCTTAAGATTAGGACAGCGACCCTTCCACAAAACAGTGTCCATTGTTCATTATAACAAAGCTGCCTGATCCTATGTAGGCTTATTCAGTTCTGAGATAAGCATCCAAAGGGTTGTGGTCCAGTAGCACAATCCTGTGCATGTCTACTCAGAAGTACATCTCACTGAGTTCCATGTGACTTATTTCTAGGTATTGTGTGTATAGAATGGTAGCCTTGGTCTCCTTCCCCTTTCTAACTGAGTCTAAGGCAGAGCTAGGAAAACAGGAAACAACGTTATTGACATTTTCAGTGAATACTTCCAGGTGACTTAAGTACTTATGTGGGATGAAACACATTCAGAAACCTCTTGTGGCATGCTTGAGAATAGAAAACTATTGTGTAATTTCTTTTTCCAGAAATAACATCTCAATTCTTATTTTTCTGTTTATCTCTCTAGATTTTTCCTTTCTTCTTCTCCTTTTTTCTTATCTTGTTTAGCCCAATAGACTCTGTTAGTGGTTAAAATGTCAAGATTGAAATAATAACTTCCGTAGTATGTCTATCAAAAATAGATTTCTGGCCTTCCCCCCTTAATTTTAAAACTACAGCCAAAATGTTGTTGGTTCGACTAAGATGCATCCAGATATGAAAATGGATAGCATTCCTTGGAAACTCTTGCTGTCATTGTAAAACTGTTCTTTTGGACACTTTCTGGCTAGTGAATCATATGTTACTTGCATTTAAGCAAAGCGGTTTTCAGAGATTTAAATATAAACTCCAGTCTGTGCCCAAGTAAAGATTGTAAAAACATATTACATGTTAAACTTATTAGAGAATTTCCTCAGTGAGGTTTGTGGACTGGCATATTGAAAGATGGGCCACTCTTAGTGGTTTCCACAGTAAGATGTTCTGTCCAGATTTAAACATCTTGGCACCCAAACCTTTCACTGTTAGGGCCCCTACTGCTCTGCTGTGGCCTCATCTCTTTCCTGAAGTAGTAAACATAAGAGATGGTAAATTATGGCTTGCCTCCATTTCCAGGACTGGCCAATTGCCTTTTTTGTTCTGTAGGGTTGCTCTGAAATTACACCTGCAAGCTCCTTTAGTAGTACACTTTCGTATAACTCATCAGGCCCTGGAGATTTGAATTCATTTAAAGTGGCTAGGTTTTCCCTTACCACCACTTTTCCTATCTTGGGCTGCAGTTTCCTCCTTGCATCATTTATTCTGTTGTCACCAGATTGGGCACTTACTGAGCAGGCTAAGCATCTTTCTGCTAATAAATGCCCTGGAAGAAGCTCATCTTCCAACAGATATACTATTTGGCCTCCCCTCTGCCCACAATTCTTATACAGTGGTACCTCTGGTTACGTACATAATTCATTCCAGAGGTCTGTTCTTAACCTGAAGCACCACTTTAACTAATGGGGCCTCCTGCTGCTGCCGTGCCGCCGCCGCACAATTTCTGTTCTCATCCTGAAGCAAAGTTCTTAACCCGAGGTACTATTTCTGGGTTAGCGGAGTCTGTAACCTGAAGCATCTGTAACCTGAAGCATATGTAACCCGAGGTACCGCTGTATTTCAAAAACTCAGGGGGTATTTGATAAAGCTGAATGTTGGAAGATTCAGAACAAATAGAAAGCATTTCTTCACACAATGCATAGTTAAGCTACAAGTATTGGCTACCATCTTGGATGGCTTTAAAAGAGAATTGGACAAATTCATGGAGGATAAAGCTAGCAGTGGCTTCTAGCTATGATTGATATGCCCTATCTCCCCTGCCAGAGGCAGTATGCTTCTGGGTACCAGTTCCTGGGAATCTCAGGTGAGGACAGTGGTGTGATGCTCAGATTCAGCTTTGTGGGCTTCACAGGGCATCTGGTTGGCCACTGTGAGAACAGAGTTCTTGGCTTGTGGACTTCTGGCCTGATCTAGCAGGCTCTTATGTTCTTAGCATTTTACAAGAACAGTATTTGATAAAGATCTATTTCTTAGCTAGGTTTTGAGGTTCTTCTTTTGATTTTTGGTACTGCCTTTTTTTATTTAATATTTGAACAGCAGTTTGTTTGACTTACACATTAAACATATGACCCAGCAAGAAATCAGTAAAGAAATGAATTTTACTTTGTGTCTCTTCCAAGGAATGGTGGAAATGAGTGTTGCCTCCAAAGAGGAAAAGTACTGTTTCCTAATCCTCTATCCTTTTATTATAAAATTCATTGCATATGTTCATGATGTGGTTTTGCTGATATATTTTACAAGATGTCAAGCAGCTCAGCCCCCCCCCCATTTTTTCTTCTTCAGTTGATGATGGATGCCTTGAAAATACACCAGATACAGCTCAGTTCAGCAAAGAATACCAACTTCACCAGCATCTTTTTGATCCAGAACATGACTATCCAAGCATGGGAAAATGGGTGCGTAAATCTTGTTTACTTTGGAAATCTGCAAATAATGCTGAATTAGTTAAGAAAAGGTTTTTGTAACAAACTTTATAAAAGAAAACTATAGACTGTCAAACACACCTTTAGAGCTAGATTGCAATTGTCACAAAAGGACATTAATCTGCTACACCCTGTTATGTTCACTATCTATATATTTTGTGTATGAAGAATCTAACAAAACATTTAGAACTTTAGAATGAAGGAACCTGCATTACAAGGTTGCTATAAAGCTTTCAATTTAGTTCATCGCAGCCTAAAAGCTGTCAATGCTCAGTTGATAAATACATTGGTTTAGCAATGCTTGTTCACAAGAAAATGATTACTCCATTATAGCTAACTCAAATTTAGATTTATAGCACTGATCACCTTTAGGATTCCTAAAGTCAGTCATGTGAAGATTACCACATGCTGGAAATTCTTATTACATTGTGCTTGATTATCAAAGATTGTAACATTAAACAAACCAGATGTTGAACTTGAAATAACTATTTATGCCTGTTCCACTTAGGTTTTTTTGGTAAGTTATTTATTTTTGTACCTCTACTTTGAAAACTTTCAGGTACTTGTGTCGAAAGGTGCATTCCTAAAACATAAGCCATAATCTAGCCATAATTTATCCCATTGGTTTCAGTAGACTAGATTGAGACACATGCTTAACTCATTCACTGAAATAGTGGGTTAAACTTGCCTAATTTTGGCCATCTTGTGCAAATAATATGTTTTTTAAAATATACTACACACTTAAAATGTTTTGCAAAATACATTACTATGTCTCTTATAAAGCAGTAGCTCATTATACGATGGAAGAAAGATTGGCGATAAATATAAATAATGATGATGATGATGATGATGTTAATATGATTTTGAAAACAAAATAAGAAAATTGAGATCCAAATGAGATCCAGATAAAAGCATGACAGTTTCTGCCTCATACATCCTCTGATGTAAAATATGCTTAATTCTTGTTCAGTTCCAAGAGGAGCAAGAGATGTTCAGTGTCTCATCAAAAGTCTGAACTCTCCACTAGGGGAAACTTGCGCTGTATTTTCAAATTTACCCTTATTGCAGGCATAATGTTCTTATATATCAGATTTCATAACCTTATCTGCACTCTGCTGCTTATTATATTTAAGCATTAGTTATGGTTTCAAAATATTCTCAGGCAGACAAAACAAAATATGATATTTGTTGAGCCGAGTCTGTCTTTTCTTTCACAGTGCAACTTTTTGCCTTAATTACAGTCCAGCTTTTTTTAAAAAAAGAAATTGTAGGAAAACATTTATAGAAGATTCAGGTAGAACAATAAGTTAAGGGAAAGTACACTTGATACCATGAGGAAATAATGTACAGTTCTGTTGTTGTTGTTTTACATGTTAAATTGATTTCCCCCCCCCAAGTGAGTTTGCAAAAATTAACTGTAGCCAAGAATGTCTCTTCTTGGCCAATTTCATCTCTGTTTCCTTGTCTCTTTGGCACAGCTCTGATGAAATAGTTGAGGCCAGGCAAAAAGCAATGTCTTGTGAACTTGGGTTTTAAATTAACATGAGAAATACTAAACAGATAATGTTTGGCACAAAAGACGCCAGCCCTTGGGCCAAGTAAGCTTATACTTACATTGTGCCAGATCTGAAGATAGGCTGCTGTAATGCCAGAATGACCACCAAATCCAATGCATGCTTAACCTAGAAGGGGAAACACACGCAAGAAGTACAGAAATGGCATAAGAACAGCAGACGCACCTCCGGCATCCCTAGAAACAAATGTCACGTTGAGAGCAAAGCCAAGTAAGCTCCTGGGACTGAAACAAACACCACAAGCAATCACACACAGCCACTCTCTAACCACTCAGTCGCAGCCGCAGAATGGCGTCAGATGCTCCACAGGGCCTTTATCGCCCCCTCCTCCCATAGCTCCAACACCCAGTCACACAGATGCCGGGAGCCAAGGGGCTGCAAGACAAGCCATGATTCTGTCTCTCATTCTACACAATGCGGGTCCCTGCTTTGAATCCAGGGGACAACCTCAGTTGGAAAGTGAAGAAGACTCACCTGCCAACCCAGACACATCTGAGCCATTCAGCAAGAGCGCTGCATCAACCAAGAGTCTGCTTTGCTTGGGCCAGTCCACCCTTTGGGCCCACTACCTCAATCGGGCAGCCCCAGTGACTTAGGCTGTGTACACATTCCTGTTTACTCTGCATCCAGTGCATTCCCACTTCCGGTTTGGGAAGCATCCCCTCCTCCTCCTCCCACCTGACTGCTTCATCTCCCCCCCCCCACAGGAGCACTCATTTCCCTTGTGCCCATGAGGTAAGGTTACCAGACATCCCCATTTCCCAGGGACAGTCCCCGGATTTACAAATCAGTCCCCTGACAAAATCCATCTATTTAGTAGGAAGTTGAAAAGTGTCCCCCAATTCATTGAAAGAAATCTGGTAACCGAACCATGAGGGGACCATAGTTAGCCGCTGCCTCTTGAGCCCATCAAGCTCTCCGCACCCGGGACTAGGCTTGGGAACTGGGATCCAGATCACTGTGCTCTAGCCACAAAGGAAGAGACACACATAGCAAAATTCAGAGCCTTTCCTGAACAGTGTCCAGACGAAGGAGCTCCTGAGAAAGCTCCTGTGTGGGTTTATCAGCCATTAACTCCAGTAGGGCTTCTGCACTTTGGACACACAGCATGGTAGCAGGTAATGTGTTCCTTACAGCAGTGTTTCCCAACCGGTGTTCCGCGGCACACTAGTGTGCCGTGAGACCTTGCCTGGTGTGCCGTGGGAGGGAGGCGGGCGAGTCGGGCGGCGAGAGGCGGGGCGGCGGCGGCATCTCCTGCTGGATGCAAATCCAAACATGGCGGGCGCCTCCCTCGCTCCTTTGTAGGCGGACCATCGAGAGAGAAAGAAAAGGAGGCGAAAGAGCGAGAGAAGGCGCCTGCGCGGAAAGAGGAGCGAGCAGTGCGCCTGCGCGCCGCGGCGCCCGAGATCGCTTCTCCCCACCACCCCTTGCTTCAAAAGAGGTCCGGGGGCAGCGGGAAGCGCAGCGCTTCTTCCCCGCTGCCCCCGGACCTCTTTTGAAGCAAGGGGCTGCGGGGAGATCGCTTCTCCCGGTGCTCCGAAGCGGGGCGGGGGGGGGGGCGGGAACCTCGCACCCCGCCGCCAGGCATCGGAACGATGCCCCGATGCCGGGCGGTGGGGCGGGAACCTCTCCCCCCGCCGCCGGGCATTGGAACGATGCCCCGATGCCGGGCGGTGGGGCGGGAACCTCGCACCCCGCCGCCCGGCATCAGAACGATGCCCCGATGCCGGGCGGTGGGGCGGGAACCTCGCACCCCGCCGCCCGGCATCGGAACGATGCCCCGATGCCGGGCGGTGGGGCGGGAACCTCGCACCCCGCCGCCCTGCATCGGAACGAGGTCCTGGACCTCTTCTGAAGGCAGGCGGGGGCAAAAGTCTTTGCTCCCCCCGCCTGCCTTCCCGGGACAGCGGAGACTTCTCCGCTGCCCCGGGCGATCTTAAAATGCTGGCGGGCGGGAGCGAAGCGTTCGCTGCCGACCCCCAGCATTTTAAAATCTCCTCGGGGCAGCGGAGACTTCGCTCCCGCCCGCCAGCATTTTAAAATCGCCCCGGGACAGCAGGGGCTTTTAAAATGCTGGCGGTCGGCAGCAAAGCCCTCCTGTCCCCGGAGCTTGCGGGGCGGGAGGTGGGAAGAAGGGCTTTTCTTCCCACCGCCAGCCTTCAGAACAGCCTTCTGAAGGCTGGCAGTGGGAAGAAAAGCCCTTGTTCTCCCCCCCCCCAGCCTTCAGAAGAGGTCCGGGGACAGACTGTCCCCGGACCTGGTCTGAAGGCGGTTTCCCTAGGAACGCATTAATTGATTTTCAATGCATTCCTATGGGAAACCGTGCATCGCAAGACGAAAAACTCGCAAGACGAAGAGACTTGCGGAACGAATTAATTTCGTCTTGCGAGGCACCACTGTACTTTTTATATAGTCAATATAGGCACAGAGTTAAATTTTTTAACATTTTCTAATGGTGGTGTGCCTCGAGATTTTTTTCATGAAACAAGTGTGCCTTTGCCCAAAAAAGGTTGGGAAACACTGCCTTACAGCCTCAGCTCCATGCTAGGAAAATGTTTGTTTTGCCTGCCCGTCATGTGGTATGAAAGAGGTACCCATTGTCTGACTTGCATTCTTCCTGTGCGTGGGTTTTGTACTGCTGGTGGTGTGCTCTTTCATGGCAACATGGATGGAACAGGTGGAGATATGTGTGGGGTTCATATATCCCACCCACGTACACACTACTGAGCTAGGGGAACCAGTGGCCTGACACAGTATAGTGGTACCTTGGTTCCCTAATGGCTTAGTTGTCAAACAAATCGGCTCCCGAATGCTGCAAACCCAGAAGTGTTCCGGTTTGCGAACCTTTTTCAGAAGCCAAACGTCCAATGCGGCTTCCGCTTGAGTGCAGGAAGCTCCTGTGGCCAATCAGAAGCCATGCCTTGGTTTTCGAATGCTTTTGGGAGTCGAACAGACTCCCGAAATTGATTAAGTTTGAGAACCAAGGTACCACTGTATAAGGTTGCTCTTTAGGTGCTGTGTTCCTGTGTCTCCAATCCCATTTCAGCCACCTCAGCCGATGAATCAGCTGCTGCATACATCACATGGTGGGCAGAATATCTTGAATTCTACCAGCACTGCAAGGCTCCGGATACACCCTAGAACCCCAGGGGAGGCAGGGGCTTTCTCAAGAACAGGACGTGTCCTAAAGCATTTGTTTCTCAGAAATCAAGGTTTAATTTCAGAAGTGATGGTTTTGTGAAACTCTCACCACATCTGTTGTTATTGTGACTGTTGGGTCAATTGCTTACATAGCAATTACGCAGTAATCTGATTTATATATATATATATATATATATATATATATATATATATATATATATATATATATATATATATATATGAATGACAGACACACACACAGAGGTTTTCTCTTAATTTCTCTTAAACCTTTTTTAGTGCAGCACCACTGAATAATTCCAATTGAAACAAAAATCTGTTGAGCATGTGTCTGACATTCCAGACCTTATTTGAGCTCACTACATCTATGAAATATAGCAATATGTGGAAAGACTTGTACAGGCTGTGGTCATAGTCATCGCCTTTTTAATTTTTATTTTTTTCAATAGCTTTCTGTCTGCCAAGACAACTCTGGCAGTTTTTAAAAGGTTCACTCTGTTAAAAACGTTCTAGACCAAACAGGTTTTATTTTTTTGAAGGAGGTTTATTAGGATGCTACCTAAATGAAGGAAGGAATTGTGACTAGGATTTCTTTACCCAGAGGGTGCTTAACAGTCTGCGGGGGAAGCAGTTGAGATAAGAATTCTTTAAAAGAATTAAATTGTGTTACACACAGAAGCCACCAGGAGCAAGTGCTGTATAAAAAACCAATACTGTTCTGCCCATAACCTGATGGCTCTGCTCTTCCTTGCAGTTTGTATACTATAGGGACTAGGAACCTGTGGTCCTGCAGATGGTGGTGACCTACAGCTGCCATCATCCCTGACCACCGGCTTTACTAGATGGGACTGTTGGGAGTTGGAGTCCAAGTTCCCCATCCCTGTTATACCAAGTAAAAGACTATTGGTGCATCTAGTGTAGTATTTCGTACTCTGACTGATGGCAGGTTTCCCACAGAGGTTCTTCCTAACCGGTGCCTTGTATTTTTTTATGCAGATACTGAACTTGGGATGTTCTGCATGCAAAGCATGTGGTCTACTACTCAGCGATTTTTCCACTCTCTGAGACAGTTCAGATTAAAACCATCATGCAACTTAGAATCATCATATATTCCTATTCATATAATGGTTGATGACACTAAGTGTCCCAGAAGAATACCAAAATATTTTATTAATAGCTACAGTAATTCAAATGTTTTCTTGTGGTTTATCTTTCCAACAACATGGCATTCTCTCCTGAACTGCTTTCCAAAATATTCATATGCTAATATTTAGATGGCACAAAGTCTTGCTTGAAGAGCTACAAAATTTGATCCATACTTTTGTGTTTCCCCCCTCTTCTTCTTCTTTCAGAATAAGAATTTACTCTTTGAGAAAATGAAGGGTGGACCAAAAAGAAAGAAAAGGGTAATTTTCAGAATGCAACTTGTTTTCATTTTAGTGCCTTAGTGTAGAAAAAGGCAAAAATGCAAAGTAAAAAAAGATTGTTGAAATACTATGATTAGTACATCTATATTAAAACTTGGACTTTGTCCTTTCTTCCAGTAAATATCTGTGATAAGCAATACAACTTTTGCAAAAAAATTCTTCCGTCTAAGCCAGCATGTCCCAATATTTTGTTAACCAAGACCCTTGATTTTGAATTAAAACTGGAAGTATACTTCACCTTGCACCTCCTCCCAGAGATGCGCTTCCAAGTGAAGAAGAGTAAGAACCACCCTCAGTTGAAAACTCCCTCTGTCTTTTTAAACTTATCAGTGTTTTGTGTGTGCTTCATATTATTATTAATATAAAATTTATTTCTTGCCCTAGGGTCTCATGGCAGGTTACAGCAATTTAAAATACAACATTAAAAACAGATTTTAACAACTTACAACCACAAAAATAGGGTGGGCCCTAAAAATCTCAGGTGTCAAAGTCCAGGGTAAAGAGGTGCACTTCAGCATTCACTGAAACTGTATGGTGAGGTTGCCAGACACATCTGTCAAGAGGGAGTAGTACAGAGTGGCTGCAGAGATTACTCTTCCCCAGGAACTGAGGGTGGCTGAATTACCAGGAGGGCCAATTTGCTAATATCAACACCTGAGAGGGTCTGTAGGCAAGGAAACAGCCTTTCAGGTATCATTTAGTGTCTTAAGCAGTAATATGAGCACCTTAAACTGGGCCCAGAAATGAACTGGCAAACAATGCAGGTGTTTTAAAATAGCGGATATGTGAGATCTGAATAGAACTCCAGCCAGTAATCTGGCTGCTGCATTTTGGACCAGTTGAAGTTTCTGAGTCATCTTTATGGGTGGCCCCATGAAGATCGCACTGCAATAATACAATCTGTAAGTTACCAGAGCATGGAGTACAGTGGCCAAGTCACTTCTGTCCAAAAGGGGCCATCACTGGCAGACTAGCTGGGTCTGGGGAAAAACATGCCTAGCCGCCGAGGTCACCTGTTGAATCCAGGAGCACCTCCAAGCTGCAGATGTCCTCCTGCCAAGGGAGTGCAACCCTGTTCAGAACAAGCCATCTTCTCACCTTCTAGTCATGAGAACTTGGGGCACATCTCTGTCTTCAGGATTCAGCTTGTTTATTGGCCCACGCCCAGACCATCACTGCCACAGTCTAACACCTGAACTGCATCTCCCGGATTCAGATGGAACAGAGTAGTGTGTCATCTGCATATTGATTACAATTTATTAATAATAATAATAATTAAATGTGTATACCACCAGGGACACGGGTGGCGCTGTGGGTTAAACCACAGAGCCTAGGACTTGCCAACCAGAAGGTCGGCGGTTCAAATCCCTGCGACGGGGTGAGCTCCCGTTGCTCGGTCCCTGCTCCTGCCAACCTAGCAATTCAAAAGCACGTCAAAGTGCAAGTAGATAAATAGGTACCGCTCCGGCGGGAAGGTAAACAGCATTTCCGTGTGCTGCTCTGGTTCGCCAGAAGCGGCTTAGTCATGCTGGCCACATGACCTGGAAGCTGTACGCCGGCTCCCTCGGCCAGTAAAGCGAGATGAGCACTGCAACCCCAGAGTCGGTCACGACTGGATCTAATGGTCAGGGGTCCCTTTACCTTTACCTTACCACCTGTAATCTGAAGGTCACTGGGCGATTCATTGTTGAACTACTCTTGCATCAAGTTTCTACCTGATGTTCAACTGAAAGCTACCTTCCAGTCATTTAAGTCCATTAGATCTAGTTCTGCTGTCTTCTGTGTGGCAGCTTCAGTTATTTGAAGAGTGCTGTTATGTCCCTCCTGGCAACAGTCTTCTCCAGGCTAAACACGCTAAATTCCTACAGCCAAGTGACTTGGACAAGGCCTTAGAAAAAAACCTGTGTTGTATAAAGATTTGCTCATTCTTACCAATCAGATACTTGGGAAACTAAATTATAGCGCTATTGGTTGAATGATGCTTTTGCTTACAGGTGTTTAATCACACTTATTTTAGTGTCTTTATTAGGTGGGTCATCATTACCCCCATTTTACAGAATTGAGATTGAGGGAGAAAAATTCAGCTACAGTCCTAAACACACTTACTAAAGAGTAAGCCCCACTGAACACACTTAAAATCTCCCTGAATTATTTTCCATTTCTAATTGCATTAAAAATATTTTTCCCCCAGAGTGTAAATCCATATCTTCAAGGACAAAGGCTGGACAATGTTGTGGCAAAGAAGTCTGTTCCACATTTTTCAGATGAAGAGAAAGAGACTGCAGAAAATGAATGAAGCTTTGTGGAAAGCCCTAATACGGCTTATATAATCACTGCATAACCAGTCATTCAAATCCTCATAGTGGTTGCATGTTTATTACTAATATATTTGTTGCTGAAAAGCAGCTGGATTTGTAGCATTTGTTATCCTAGATACATGAACACAGTTGTGTTTTTTGTTAAGTTACGGTATTAGGAAGCTCTTGATTTACTTTAGACCTGGAGCAAGCTTTGAAAAAAATTATCATTTTAATAACTGGCATGAATTAAACAGCTTTATGAAGCAGCTTGTAAAGAAGAGGACCATTTTTCCAAAATTTTTCTATTATTGTACTTATGATGTGATGTTTGTTCTCTGGGAACAATTATTTCATTAAGTTTTGTTTGTAAATAACCGCCTAATTCACAATAAATGTCAGATACTTGCTGTTTGTTTTAATAAACACTGAAAGCAGTCTTCAGTATTTGCATGGATATATAAACGTGTTTCGGATGATTTTTGAGGAAATGGCTTGCCTTATTTTACTGGAAGACAAATAAACTTTGCTATGAATGGAATCTACACAGTAAAACATTTTCACTTGCTTGCTGGTGAAACTTAGGTACCGCAAATGATAAGGTGAAATATTTATTTTCTTTATACAGCTGTGCATTATACAGTGTGCATTTTTAACCAGGAGATGCCACAGCTAATAACGGAGCAATAGTCTGTGATCCTGATGGTTTATCCCACACTAGAGGTTCAGACTACAGTGGTACCTCGGGTTAAGTACTTAATTTGTTCCTGAGGGTCCGTTCTTAACCTGAAACTGTTCTTAACCTGAAGCACCACTTTAGCTAACGGGGCCTCCTGCTGCCGCCTCGCCGCCGGAACACGATTTCTGTTCTCATCCTGAAGCAAAGTTGTTAACCCGAGGTAATATTTCTGGGTTAGCGGAGTCTGTAACCTGAAGCGTATGTAACCCGAGCTACCACTGTATTGCCTTTCTGCGCATGCTGAATTTCAAGGGAAACCCCATACAGTAACATTGCCTTGAGATTACAAATCTCAAATGGTTAACTAATGTTAGGCCTGAATCAAATATACCTACCTGCCTATCCACAATATGATTTAATTTCTCTGCCATCATCGCAACATAAAAATCCAGTAATAATGATGTATAGGGAAGCTTTTAAAGGTTTAATGTTTTACTATGTTTTTATATATGCTGGAAGCTGCCCAGAGTGGCTGGGGCAACCCAGTCAGATGAGAGCAGGGTTTACAAATGAATTATTATTATTATTATTATTATTATTATTATTATTATTATTATTATTTATTTATTAATTTAAAAATGTCAAGGTTATGTGACCAAGAGAGTTCAAACCTCATCAGTAATGGGTATCTTGACACACACATGCACACACTGGGGATAGCCCATGACAATTGTTTAAGCTTTCCTCCCAATAGTTGTGCTTGAGAAGCTGACATGGAATAAAGGAAGTCTAGGTAGAGAGATGGCACCCATGTGCTAGGTAAGCACTATTTCCATTTTTCCAGCTGAAAACGCAGCACTTTTAATATTTTCTCATATTTTTTGTTTGGCTGTATTCTTATGGGGGAACATTAAGCACTCAGTTCTCCAGCAACATACATGGCATACTTATTCTTTTGTGCTGGAGCATTCTGACACAAGTTGAAGGATCAGCCTGAATTCCTCCTGTGCCTTCTTCCTAATTCACCATGAGAAGGGCGCCTGTAGTAACGGTTTGTGCTTGCTTTATTTATGACAAAAACTCTCCCCCCCCCAGTGACTATGTGGTTCCCCACATTAGAACTATCTGGTAGCCATGTGTTGAACACATGGGAGCATTGCAAATCTTAAATGATAGTAAATGCCATGGCAGAAACCTTTGCAATTACAGCCGACAGAACTTTGAAGATCACGTACAGCTAACACTATCTAGGGTGGTGGGTTTTTGTTTTTTTTTAAGGTTTCAGGGCACAAGGGAAGGAATAGGGTGAAAGGTTCCAATCTTGAAAGGATGGGGTGACTAAAATCATTTTTCCACCGAAAATGAGAATAATTGCTTTCTGCAGAAACATGGAAAATAAGAGTGTCGGTGGCACAACATTCCCCCATACAATTAATTTGTTGGATTAAGCTGAAAGTATGAAGAAGGAAAATAACTTGGTACCTCCAAGTTCTTGTCGTACTGCCCTTCTGTCTTCGTCACAGGTTCTTACCCCAGTGCGCATGGATTAATAAATGTTAAGCAGATGCTATTGCAGACCTTGTCATCTCTCTTTAAAATCCACTGTGCTTCCAGTGACATTATACACAAGGGCACTTAAAATTCGCTTAGGAGACCTGAGTGAGGAAACTGAGCTTAGGAGACGTGACTGAGAAAATACAGTAAATTAAAGTCAACATGCAGTTTTCTCTTCATACCCACTTTTAACTCTGCCACAATTAGGTATGGAAGCCCATTACTAATTATTACAAGTTGCACCCAACTAAGTTCTCAGAATACAGTCACTGAAATAAATCGAATTGTTAGTCAAGTCAACAGCTTTTAAAGGGTTTCATCCACATATGACTTTTTAAAAAGGGTAAAGGACCCCTGACAGTTAAGTCCAGTCGCGAACGACTCTGGGGTTGTGGTGCTCATCTCGCTTTACTGGCCGAGGGAGCCAACGTTTGTCCACAGACTGTTTTTCTGGTTCATGTGGTCAGCATGCCAAACCACTTCTGGCAAACCAGAGCAGTGCACGGAAACGCCGTTTACTTTCCCGCCGGAGCAGTACCCATTTATCTACTTGCACTTTGACATGCTTTCGAACTGCTAGGTTGGCAGGAGCAGGGACTGAGCAACGGGAGCTCACCCCGTTGTGGGGATTCGAAGCACCGACCTTCTGATCGGCAAGCTCTAGGCTCAGTGGTTTAAACCACAGCGCCACCCGCATCCCACATATGACTTAGTTCAACACAATCCAGTAATTCTATGCCTCCATTGTACAGTCCTAGCAATGTGAAGGTCTCCTGCTGTCTTACCTTAGTCCACTCATTCTCTTTTGCTGCCTCAGTGCCTGAAACTCCTCCCTGGACATCATGGTGCCACCTCTGTCTCTTCCTTCACAACTCTTCTCCAAACCCACCTATTTAAAGACTCCAATTTCTACTAAAACAAAGCCCAAGTGTGCATAACTGTATTCACTCACATTAAAATGTAATTACTCTCACCCCCCGTCTCCCACCCCTCCAGCGCTGGTTTGGGCCTGGAGGGGCCTGGGCAAGATGTTGGGGCACACCAATTCCTCGTTGTTGCCACTGCCCATTTGCTTTATCTTTTCCACTGGACGTACATCACTTTCCAGCAAGAGAGAACAGGGTATCTGGAGGTTATTGCTCCCACTTCTCCTTGCTCCTCTCACTTTCTTGCATAGGGCAGGTGAACAGGCAGCAACAGCAAGGATGAGCAGCAGTACCAAACTGCCTTATACAGCGTCAAACCACTGGTCCATTTAGCTCACTACATACATTGGCTGGCAGCGACTCTACCGGGTTTCAGGCAAACAAGATTCCAAGCCCCATCTGGAGATGCCGAAGACTGAACCTGGGTCTTTCATGCAAAGCAGGTGCTGTCTTTCAGCTGCTGCCCATTGGCAACCCCGAATGCAGGCGTAGGAGCACATGACGTGTTTAGCTGGTCAAGCACTTAAGAAACAACCACTTGTATCATAGGCTATACTGCCATATCACCTCCAGCTCACAGGAAAACCAAGGAACTGATTCAGCGGGTCTCTAGGAGGTATAATGTGAAACAGATCATTGTTCTTCAGCTGACTGTGGGCCCTGGGGGTCAGTGCAGCCAGTCTTTATCAGGTCCCAAGCCCTGTCCACCTGGTCCGGACGGATTGGCCAGGATTCAAATAAACAGATGGCAGGAAAGTCCGCCAGTCTCCAGCAGCCGGCCTGGGAATTCCCTAATGGCCTAGTCCATGTGTTGCTCCCAAGGGAAAGGAGTTTGG